AGCCGGGGGAGTTTCCTCTGCCATCGTGTTGTCCAAGAACCAAAACTTTGCCATCTTCACCAAACCCAACTATGATGGTTTGCAACAGCAACTGGATGGAGGCAAGTGGTGTGTAAATCCGGACGCCATGAGTTTCCCCAACGACCGACTTCAGAGCTTCCGCAAGAAATGAGTGACCAATCTGAGAGGCTCTTTGCTTTCATTTCTTAGTAATTTGTTCTCTTTTTTTATTTTATTTCGTTTCATTTGTGTTTTGTTTGTTTCTTGTTTAAGCCTCATTGCTAACTTTTGAAGATTTTGTTAAACAAAATTTTTTCAGTTCAGCGTTGTACTTTGAATCATTAGATACAATTTGAATAAAAGAAGCTTGTTGTTAAATTGAGGTTGGCATTTTTCTTGTCATTAGTAAAGAAATAATATTATTAACTTTTTAACACCTTTTTCCACGAGCAGAGTCTGGCGTGGAGTATGTGATTGGATATGAAGGGATCCAGTTATCAACTTTATTACGCCCGCGCGAGTTGCTTGTCCAGCATCAATGAGAGGCTTCTAGCAGCCTGGAATTTCTTCAAGGAGTCCCGGCGATACAAAACCAGTGTTCTCATTAAGTTAAAAAGGTCACTGTAGGTCTTCCATACACCTCCATCTCGCACATAGCATAATTTCTGCGAATGGCTTTTGCTTTGCCCAACAGATAACTTCCTCAGATTTGAACATAACTGACATCATTAACCAGTCAAACACGGTCTATTACTATTTGTGTTTGGAACTATTCTCATTCTCTCAAGGAAGAAGCCTATTGTACTGCATTGTTGAAAATGGTAGAAGATTCGAGGTTGAGCCTTGACAACAGTGAGGCTGTTGCTGAGCTTGCAAATAACCTGAGTAAGGCGTTTGATTCTGTATGGCATGGCCTACTGCTTGCCGAACTCAGAGCCTATGGCCTCACAGATCAAGCATTGGAATTGATGAGTAGTTACTTGCAAGATAGGAGATAGAGGGTCAAATTGGTCGGCATTTACTCTGACTGGAAACCTGTCAAAGCTGGGGTCCCTCAGGGGTCTCTGTTGGGCCCTTTGCTTTTTAATATCTGCATTAATGATTTGAACCTTCAGGTTACAAACACCTCTCTACGGTTGTATGCAGATGACACTACTGAATATGCATCGGACACTTTCCCTCCAGTTTTAGAATATATTATTAATTCTGATTTACATATATTGTTAACATGGCTTCGGCAAAACTATCTTCAGATCAATGCATCTAAGACACAAGAAGTGGCTATAGGTCCAGTATCATATCGTTATAACTTCAGTGTAGATAACAATGAATTGGACGCTAATAATACACTTAAAATCCTTGGTATTACATTAGATCGTAAGCTCAATTTTGTCGCTCATGTGTCCGAACAAATAAAAAAGGCGTGTGCCAAAAGCCTCTGCGTTACAGAGGATTCGCATGTTTATTCCTTTAGACGTAATGTGCCGCCTTTATAAGGCATATATATTGCCTCATTTGGAATATTGTTGCCCGCTATTACTTGGAGTTGGAAGAGGTCAAATTACAAAATTAGAAAACACCAATAATTATATATTCTTAGATCTAATATATGGTATGGAAAGCATACAGCATACAACCATTAATTAAATATGCATGCGAAGCGATGAAACACGT